ATAGATTCTAGAGGTATAGATTAATAGATAGTTATGGTCAAACGTCTGCCTAGGAGACTGCAAAAGTTAAACTGTGACTTTAACTGTGGACGTGAGAGTAAATTTTAGATAAACTATAGTAGTAAAAATTTAAATAACTAAACTATACTTCGGTCCGGTTCCAAACTTCTAGTTAACTTGCAAAGACTGTGAAAGTGTGAAGGCACTAATCAAAGTAATGACGTAAATGTACATTTAAATAATTAAACCATACTTTGGTCGGTTCAGTCCGGTACCGGTTCTCATTTTATGAGAATCAGTCATGATATAGTTTCAAACCGGTACGGCCCGATTCAGGACAAAAAAAATTGAGATCCGTTTCAAACCCTATTTTTCAGTCCGGTGCCCTACCGATCTGGTTCAGTACCATGCCGGTTCAGTATTTTTGCTCACCCCCAATTTTCAATTAATATACTCATGTTCTAAACTGATTAGATCTGCGGAAATTACTTCAAATAGGACTAAAATTATGGCAAAAACCCCAAATAGGACTTGTTTTGTTTTTATTCCAAAATAGGACCATATTAGTCCTATTGGAAACATACCTATTTTTTCATTCCATTCTTACCCCTCTTTTAAATATGAATAAAGGTAGTCAAAAATCATAATTAAATTTTTTATTTCATATAAATTCGTAAAAAAATATAAAAATCGTAGAAAAATAATAAAAATTAATAAAATATTTATAAAATAATCAATCATTTTTTGTTAATTATGGATGCCTTTCTCACCGACTGTACTGCCTCCCTACAACACCACCTCCAAGCGGTGTAAAAAATCTTAAAACTGCCTTTTTCTAAAAATGTCAAAAAATGACATATTACTCTTTGAAAATGCCAAAATTTTCATTGAATCTCCCATAAATATGACATTAATAATGGATGTGACATTTTTTCCCCTGATGACTGGTGGTGACGGTGCTGGGGCGGTAGAGGCGGCGGTGTTTTTTTTTTTGCATTTTTTTTTAAATTTTATTTTTAAAAAAAGATTATTATCATGTAAATTTTTTAGTATTTTTTACGAATTTTATTATTTTTTATTATTTTATTATGAAATTAAAACAGTTCAATGGTAACAAGGGTATCTTTGTCCAACACACACATAATTAGTCCTATCAAAACATAGTTTAATTTTTTGTCCAGAAAACTATCAAATCAGTCCACCTACTATTTCAGAAAAGTCAATTGAGTCCACATACTATTTTCTTAATCAATTAAGTCTACCAATTATCAAAAAATGACCAAATTTGCCTTTTCTCCGGTAATGAGTCGATTTCCCTGTTAATCAGCCTACGTGGATCTTCCACGTAGTTTTTTTCCCTTGTCAGCGCTTATTTGGCGTCAGTGTGGCATTAGATTATCTATTTCCTTTTATTTATTCTTTCTTCTTCTTCCTTCTTTAATTCTTGCAACACATCCCCTTCTTAATTCTCTTCTCATTTCTCTTAATTCTCTTCTCCTATTTCTTCCTTCTCCCCCTCTAGCTTTCCATCTTTCTACCACCGTCCACCTTTGTCTCTACCATCTCACTCGAGCACTGCTGCTGCCGCCGTCGAGTTCTGCAGCTGCCTACGTCGAGCTCTGCTGCTGCCGCCATCGATCTCTGCTGCTGCCGCCGTCGAGCTCTGCTGCTGCCGCCATCGAGATCTGCGTCGCCGTCTGGTTTCCATTGAAGAAGAGCAAGGGTTGCCGGCGGGTTGCCATATTCTTCTTCTCTTGCCATGAAAGAGGGGGATAGAACTCATAGAAGGTTGGGTAATGTAGAAGAAGTAGAGTGGAGAAGAAGAGAAAGAAGAGGGATAACAGAAAAAAAAGGGAAAGTAGATGGGGGTGAACTACTGGGAAAGGATGAAGGGAGGGGAGGTTGGGTTGGGCTGTGGGGTAGAAGAAGTAGGGAAGAAATATAGGGGAGGAGTTGAAGAGAGATGAAGGGGAAAAAGAAAAAAATTGAGTGAACCAGGAAGTGGGGAAGGAAAGGAAATGGGGGAAGGGAGTTGTAGAGATGGAGATGGGGAAGGGAGAAAAAAAAAAGGAAGAAAATTGAAGAAAAAAAAAAACCTAAAAAAAACAATATATTTTGTACTCCCTTCGTCCCATAATTTACTTCCAACTTTCCCTTTTCGTCTGTCCAAAAAAGAACTATTCTTTCCTTTTTTGGCAAAGAATTTGTGGTTCACAGCAATTCTTACACATTCTTACACATTTCTCTCTCCTTTGCACAACTCTCCACCGCACAATTCCACCTTTCTTAATTCGTGTGCTATTTGTACTATGGAAGTAAATTATGGGACGGAGGGAGTATAATTAAGTGGCATCCACATCAACTTTAGAGAAGGGATACGGGTTAGTTACCGGTCAAATGACCTAATTGATGAAAATTTAAGACTTGGTAGACTTAATTGATTAAGAAAATAGTAAGTGGACTCAATTGACTTTTCTGAAATAGTAGGTGGACTGATTTGACACTTTTCTCTTTTTGGTTCTATTTGTCCAAAGTAACCAACATTTAGGGCTTGTTTGGCAATCAGCGGTTAGCGGTTAGCGGATTGTGTTAGCTGGTTATAAATAGCGGGTTGTGTCGACGGATTTGACCGGCGGATTAGTTTGACGGATTGCAGGAAAATGTTTGGTAACTTAGTTGTTTTCTTTTAGCGGTTAAACGATAAAAAGACAAAAAAGGACATTAGTCTATTTTTGTGTATATGGATAGCCTATGCAATTTGAATCTCTAATTCAAACATCAACTACGAGAAAATTTTGGGAAGTTAAATAGGGTGCGCTCAAGCAAACATTTCATCAAACAGAAATCGGGCAATAAACAAAAAAGAATGGGCGACTTGCCCATGGGGAGTCATGTGTCAATTCTTGATGAGAAGAAGATACTGTAAACTGCAACATTGCAGATCTTGATGGACAATTGTGAAACCGTACATGCCATCTATGTTTTAATTTTTCTAAATCCACATGCCACCAAACTTACAATGGAAATAAATGTTGGAAACCAAACTCCTCCACACAAACGGAGAAAATACGAGTATAAAATTTCAAGTCTCAAAACGACGAGGATTTAGGAGTACCTATACTGAATTGGAACAATGGAACATTACAACGACAATAAGAATGGTCCACACAGAGTATTTACTGAGCTCTTCCACGAGCTCATTGAAGAAGACGAGCAAGGATATGAGCATCAACGCCAGACCCATCCTGGTGGAGAAGATGACCTTTCTCGGGTCGGATCAATCTATCTGCCAGGTATTCATGGCGACGGCCGAAAGCTCTCCCATAGCTTCACAATAAACCTGCACAAACACGGGCTCGGGTCGGGCTTGAGCCGGGCTTATTCTAAAAAATCTGCCCACTTGTAGTGGGCGGGCTCGGCCCGGCCCGGTAAAATGTGCCTCCTCATATGTCCAAGCCCGCCCATGAGAGCGGACCGGGCTGCCCACCGGGCTTTTGGGCCCGAAAAATATCCTTTTGTCAACTCTGTTAAAAAAATGAAAACATTTATAAAATAACATCACAACATTTTAAATTGCAATTAAATAATTAATGTACTCACAACACATTTTGAACACAAGAATACATTTAAATGCAATACACAGAACGATTCTGGAAAACAAAAAGCATCCAAATTCCAAATAAGCATCCATATTCCATAATTAAAAGCACAATCACATATTCACAATGTGCAGCGGAAATAGTCAAGAGTATTTCCAAAAAGATTTAACAAATGTATATCATTACAGTTCAAACCTTAATACTTCCAAGTATCTTAAGTTTTATACGTATAGTCATATACTGTATAATTATATATAGAATAATATATATAATATAATATATATAATATGTTTACGGGCCGGGCTTTTAGGCGTGACCGGGGCTATATTACAACCCAAACCCGTCCATATTTTAAACGGGTCGGGCCGGGCCCGGGCCGGTGGGCTAAAGCATGTGTCCAAACCTGCCCATTTATATGGGCGGGCCGGGCGGCCCGGGCGGCGCGACCCGGTATTGTGCAGGTCTATTCACAACCTTCGAACAAAGCCCGGAGCAACAAAATTTCAGCCTACCTCTGTAGTCGAGAACAAAACTCGAGAACTCGGAGGAGTCGGCATTGGATCTGGGCGACTAAAGCTAAGGAAGAATTTCAGCCTGTCTCTGAAGCTTGCGCTAGTTTTCTTCTACGGAAGAAGAACAGGGAAGGAGGTCTGCGAAAGTAGAGAACAAAGAACAGGGAAGGGTAAGATCGAGAATTAATTGCGTAGGTAGAAGCCGCTAATCTTAAATGCTCCACTTTGCAGCGTTTTGTTTTTCAGCGTTTGGGACGAAAACACCATAGGAACATGTCATATGCCAAACACCTAATTTTGACGTTTTGATCAATTAAAAACGTTGAACTTTGTCAAATCAGCCAATTTTTGGCCGAACCTTTTACCAAACATGACCTTAGTCCTATTTTGACAATTAACCCTTATACTTATTTTTAAAGTTCACATCATAATTACTACAACACAGTAATTTTGAACACAATTATCATCACTAAACATTACCAAATCACACTTTTGTCAATCACTTTTCCATGAATAACACCAATGAGATTTGTTTTTTTTAAAAAATCAGAACTCGTAACTTGTTTTTTAGAAATTAGAACTAATCGGAACTTGTTTTTTACTGCATCGCTGAAGTAATGCACGAATCGTCGAGGGGCAAGGTCAAGATAAAAGTAATTCCAGTCTCTGGCAGTCCAAACCAGCCTTAAAAGTAGAGCGGGCAAACTGTAAAAACCAGGCTTAAGGGTTTAGGTAAATCCGCACCCGAGATAAAATTTTCGGGTTTTCTTCATTTACCCCTACTCACCGTTTTCTCCGTTTAAAGCAGTTATTAGACGGCCGTTAGTGGGGCCGTTATGTGAAAGCAGCCGCAGAGGCTATATAAAGAGGCCGTTACGTTGGGCTTAGTGCTTCGTCTTGTCAGCTTCTTTCTCCGGCTAGTTTTCTCTGTTCTCCATTTCTTTCATACTCCCCCTCCCTCTCTCTAAACCACTGTTTTCAGATCTGCCGAGCTCTACAGAGAGAAATAAGAGCTCAGATTTCTCTGCAATGGCGGTTTCAAAGAAGTGGGTTACCATGGCTTTGACTTCTGTGGTGCTTTTCTTGGTCCTCGTTGGCGTTGCTGCCCGAGTTCAGAAAACCGAAGTGTCTGAGTCTAGGTTCGATTTCTCTCCTCGGAGATCTACTCACTCTGGTTCTCTACCACAAATATTCGAATGTCCAGTTCAATTTTCAATACAAGCATAAGTTATTAACCACGTTTTGAGATATTCTATACGGAGTATTTCTCTGCATAAAATACAAGGGGTTGTTATGCTTTTTTCTTCATATCAGTCCGGTTCGAAGTTAATTTCCGTTTTTTAAAAATAGCGAGTCGCATTATGCTTCTTCGAAGATCATCCTCTGATCCTCTCCTTTGTTCATCCTCTCTTTTAGATTGTGTTTTGATTTATTTGTTTGATTTGGATTTGCCAGAGCTGGAGAGAATGAGGATTTGCAGGGTCCAAAGAACTCGACAATGGCGGCCAGGTAATGACTCGTAGTCGTTAGTTGTAAATGAGCTATTAACTCGGAATGTTTACCCTACCGTCTCTGTTTATTCGTCTGAATCGCCGAGTCAACCCAGTGAGGCGTTTTCAGTTTTTTCCTCTGATGCCGTTAGTGGTTGCAGTGAATCTCAGCGGTTCGTTTTGTTTTCGTCCCAAAAATATTCGTTCAATGCGTACCGTCCGATTCTCTCTTATCCACTACCTGGCTGATTGCTCCTATCTGAAGGAGTAGTTTCCGCCGCTGAGATTCTCAGATCTCAACCGTTTATTCCGTTAAACCCTACACATTGGATTCCTCTGCTCTGCAAAGGCAAATCTTCATTGGTTCTTTAACCGCACCTTTTTTTTGACGTGTACTTCCAGAACTACCCCTCTGCTAAACTCTACTCCATACTCCATATCTTTTTTAACTGAAAAATCACATGTATCGTTTCTCTCTCTTCACTCTCTCTCTAAAACTTCAACTTTTAGAAAACCCATTTCTAAGGAATCATTCGTCTGCTTGGCGCTGTACTTTTGTTGCGTGAAAAAATGGATAAATGTCTGTTGCCCAGATCTTGCTTAAATTCCAAGAATACCCTTCTCTGTTTCCCCCAAATGATTCAGGGAATTAGGGCTAATTTTACTTCTGTATTTATGGTTCAGATTGGCCGAGATGGAGGAAGCTTTGAGCAAGCATGCAGTGGATGACCCGGAAGAGGTTGCCACCGTAGTTGCAGAGTGGGTGTTTCTTTTCTTCGTGTTCTGCCATTTTCGTTATGTTTTAATTCTTGCGTTTACTTGATAAGCGTTTTTCTTTGTTCACATTTTAAATCTTTTTGCATTTATTATACGGAGTATGTTTTTCTTGTGGTCCTTGTTGGAAAGCGGAAACCACTCATGTGACGTACCTACTGCACCGAAACCTGAAGCCCCAAAACGCATGTAGACACCTACCCTCAAACAGTGAAGAGTAAACAACAAAACTCTAAGGACTAAATAAACAATATAAATAGAAAACGATTCAACAAATCCAATTACAAATAATTTGATGTTGCTTTGTATCCTTTAATTAATTAATGCTGCCCAAGCTTTGTCTGAATATTGTTATTGAGGTAGTTTTGTTTGGTAATAGGGTATTTGTGCCACTGTTATGCAATTTCTAGACTCTAGTGAGCTCTATCTTGACAAACAGATCATCAGCCATAATATATTTGTTAAATGTTGCTGTGTTTCCATGATGTGTCTACTAGTTCGGCCAGTCAACATGCACGTTCTGTCAGATCTGCCTCGAGCAGTAAATTTTGCTATTCTATTTTTGCATATCCTACTATCTACTCTCATGTGCAATAGCCATTAAGTAAGATTAATACACATGTATTCCTGTAGTGCAATAGCTGTTTCTTAAATGTGGTAATCTTTTTCTATAAAAAGTAATTAGTTGACTATCTTTTTATAAATGAAAGTTTGGCTCTTTGTAAGAAGAAGAAGTTTACCCAAGTCTTTTCTTTCCATGGACACACCTTAGCAACACGTAATAAACACTTTTGATTGACTAGAAAAATATAAATTATCCTGTTGGTTTGACAATGATTTAGCAAGAGCTGAAGTGTAATTGTTCAAAATGAGTTTATATCCGTGAAGCCTTTTTCAGATTAACTGATTGAGATATTGGGTTTTTGTTAACAGGACCATCAGAAACAGCACTGAGAGGCGAAAACTTGGGTACTTTTCATGCGGGACTGGTAATCCCATAGATGACTGCTGGCGATGTGATCCAAATTGGATCAACAACCGCAAGCAGCTTGCTGAGTGTGCTATAGGGTTTGGGCGCAATGCTGTTGGAGGGCGTGATGGGAAATACTACGTTGTCACAGATCCTAATAACGATGACCCAGTGACCCCCAAGCCAGGCACTCTCCGCCATGCTGTCATTCAGGATGAACCTCTGTGGATTGTGTTCAAACGTGACATGGTCATAACATTGAAGCAGGAGCTAATCATGAACAGCTTCAAGACGATTGATGCCCGAGGGGCCAATGTTCACATCGCCAATGGTGCATGTATCACCATCCAGTACGTCACCAACATCATCATACACGGGCTCCATATTCATGACTGCGTACCCACCGGAAATGCTATGGTGAGGAGCTCCCCATCCCATTTCGGGTGGAGGACGATGGCTGATGGTGACGGAATCTCCCTCTTCGGGGCAAGCCACGTATGGGTGGACCACAACTCCCTGAGTCACTGTGCAGATGGACTCGTTGATGCTGTCATGGGCTCAACCGCAATCACCATCTCCAACAACCACTTTGCCCACCATAATGAGGTGATGCTGTTGGGCCATAGTGACTCATACACAAGAGATCAGCAAATGCAAGTGACCATCGCCTTTAACCACTTTGGAGAAGGTCTGATCCAGAGGATGCCAAGGTGCAGGCACGGCTACTTCCATGTGGTCAACAATGACTACACCCACTGGGAGATGTATGCGATTGGTGGGAGTGCAAACCCAACCATCAACAGCCAAGGTAACAGATACCTTGCTCCACAGAACGGCTTTGCCAAGGAGGTGACGAAAAGGGTTGACACACCAGAGGATAAATGGAAGGGTTGGAACTGGAGGTCAGAGGGGGACTTGATGCTGAATGGGGCTTATTTCACTCGATCTGGAGCCGGTGCTTCAGCTAGCTATGCAAAAGCTTCGAGCTTAAGTGCCAAGCCATCGTCTATGATCCGTGCTCTCACTCAAAATGCTGGTCCTTTAGGTTGCCGTAAGGGCAATGCTTGCTAGCCAGCAACGCCCCATCCTGTCACTCATCATACACAACAAATATGAAAGCATAGTCTCTCCTTTTCTTTCTTCTTCCTAGCTTTCTATCTGCTATTGTTATCCTATCTGACCATTACTACGAACAAACTACCTACATCAAACTTAATACCCACATGTCCTTTGATCAAAGTCATCCGTCTGTAAGCTCGTCCATACAAACCATCACCACCACTATTGGCCAGTGTACATTTTTTGCACTTAGCCAGATTCTAAAGTTGCACAACCTCGGCCTAATTCTACCAAATGAAGTGTATGCTATTGTTTGTGGGATGCAGGTGCAGAAGCGTTGTCATCTCTTCTCTTTTTAGTAGTTTATCTTACATTGTCAGTGTTTGGTCTGCTCTACATATTGTGATTGGATTCTAAGTTTAGTGAAATTGGAGAATGATTTTCTAAATTCTGTTTTTGTCTCTTTTTTAAGTAGCTTTTCTGTGACTTATTATTGAGCACCTGAGTCTTCATAGGATCTTTCTCACATAGACTGTGAATGTCAACTGTTATATTGGGGTGAAAGAAATTACAGTACTTTGTGATTGAGAGAATGATGCCAAATTACTTTAATAGTCACTGTTTAAAAGTAAATTGTACTTAAATGGTCATCCTGCACAATTACTACTTGAGAGCAAAACAGATAGTGCATGACTTTAAATGCTTCATCATTTGGTTAGTTAAAAGTTTAAAACGTGGGAAACATATGAAAAGATGTTATAATATGTAATAATGTTCATTCCTTGCCGTCTTGCTCAATCCTTGCTCATAGTAAAACATAACGCCTCTGTGTGAACTGAGACCATGTCTGAACTCGCTGGTTTTGAAATCAAACCCAATACTGGTTCAACCGGCTGACCTAGGAAAAAGAAGTTTGAAATGAGCAACCATTTGGGTGAAAAAAAGAGCCTCTCACAATCTCACGTGCAAATTATTATACTTCAAAGGAAAACATTGGAATAAAAATATATGTTACCAAATATATATTCATCCCGACATGATATGCAAAGTAAATAGAAGTAACTTGAATCATACATTATATGTTACAGAGGTGCGTAAACAGTTGTTACTATTATGATTGTTATGATTTTATGTAAATGAAACTACTATAAAAACAAGAAACATGCATAAATAGTCATGGATAATTATAATGTGAAATCCTTTCGATTGGTTAAGAGAGTGCCTACCACTGCGTTTTTTATTGGTACCGGAGTTACCTTTTGGTTGGACATTTCATTTTTTATTCTGTTGAAGGAAAAATAATAAAAAAATTTGATTTGAATTAAAAACTTACTCGGTTAGGAATAACTAATTCGTGGAGGGTTGAGATCCCCTGAATATTGGGTTGTTGTTGTTAAACCTGGTCGGATCTAGCAAGGGTGGATAACAATGGAAAAACAATCGAACTGAAAATATTTTCTCGCTTGACTTAAAAGAAAGGGGGGATCAAGTTCGATAGCTAAATTTGTTGGTTTTGGTTGGCATTCCCAATTGTAAGAAATATTTTTCATATAAAAAAAAAGAAATTCGAAACACTAGAGTTTTTGGTCCAAGCATATGTATTGAATATTTTTGTTTCGCACTTCGGTCAATTAACAATAATTTAAGACAAATTTTACCTGAATAGTTTCATTAGCTAACTTCTAACAAACATATGTATTAAATATTCTTTTGAATCTATTATATTATCTGTTCAAGGTATGTCAACATTTTTGATTGGAATGAAACTTGAATATGTGACCTCTTTTGACGATCATGAGGGATTCCATCATACCACAACATACTTGGCTAATTATTAAAATATTAAGAGCAGTAATGTAATGAATAATAGAATAGTGATAATAATAGTATTATTACTACATGGTAGTCACGATCATTATAAAATTGCGGTTAACATAAATTAAAAAAGTAAGAACTATTCAAGCCAAGCTAGAAATACCTAGTTTAGATTAGAAAAGCTCAAATCAGATTAGGGAATTCTAATCCGATGAAATTACATCGGATAAAAAAAAATTTGAGCTAAATTAAATTTGGAAAGTTCTAAAACAACCAAAATAAAATCATAAAAAAAACAAAATAAAAACACGTAGACGAGACAACTAAACAACTTCCGAAGACTTTCGATAATTATAATTGCAGATCGATACATAAATATTGACACAATTTTTGACAAAAAATATAGTTTCAAAATACAAGTCAAAACCTAATTTTCAAATATAAAATTTATCATGATCTGGAATTCCTTTCCTAGGTATCAAATAGAAAAACCATGATCTTGAATTATGGGCCGAAAATGAGGAAGCCAGAGAAATATTTAATGGTACAATGTACAATAAAACAAACTTGTGAGGGGATGTGGACAAAGGCACTCTCAGGTAAATGGAGATCCGACTTTGGAGGAAATTACACTGACTAATTAACTGCAAGTTGGGATTTAAACACGGTCTTAAAAATTTCGTTCGGCATCTTTTTGAGCCCTTTTAAACTGTAAACAAACATGTTGAATCTTGAAAATGTTACTTTTATTGCCCATTTGGTATCCAAATCGGTGGCATTAACGGTTCTACTCAAATTATTGAAGTTCTGGATTAACCGATTCCGTTGATTTATGAATAAAATTATATTCAAATATATTTTTTAATAAAATCAAGAAAATGTTATATGAAGAATAGCTAAAATGACTCTCTATATGAACTTCAGAAATACAGGTAGAAATGTAATTTTAACTTTACTTTTTTTTATATTACACAATTCAGCCTACGAAATAAAAATATATGTGTTTGGTGAAAAAGTTGATTAACAAGTTTGATAAACGGTCATCAAACCCGTTCTTAATGTTTTATTGACAAGTTTCGAAGTAAAATGATTATCATGAGTGTGATTATCTAGCTTTTAGTTCATTATATAATCTATAGTTATCTTTTGGATCTCCATAATGTATAGAATAATAGAAACGGTGTCAAAAAAGCAATGTATTTTACGTACAGAAATAAAATTTGCGAGTGTTCCCCCATGTTTTGTGCCATCAATTAGCCAAATAATTTTGCTCATTGCGGCCAGATACAAACAAAATAAATAAAATAAGCTGAAAATGTAACTTAGATACTCTCTAAGTTTCTAAAAGAAACACACACTTACCTTTTTGAGATGTTTCAAAAACAAAGTCACACTTCCCTTATTTGGCAAAGAAATCTACATCCAAATAATGCCAAACAATGTCAAACAATATCTAAACAGTATTTTCTACAGTAAAATCAATTTATTTCCTTAATAATTGTGAAGTCAAACCGTGATTTTCTTTTAGAAACGGAGGGAGTATTTTTTTTTATTTCGCTGGAATAATAACGACGCTTTTCCATCTACAAATTTCAATCAATAGAGTCACTCTGGACAATTTCAGTTTGCTTTTCTTTATAAAATATGTTTACCGCCGAATGTTCCTGTCCCACTTTGGCGTGTTCTTATTGATTTCAATCCTGTTTATAACTATATCTGCCTCAAGTAGAACAATTTTATGGGATCAAAAGCCTATTATTCCAAGTAATCGAAAAGATATTTTTTGTAAACTTTTTAATAACTACTACTAGTTTTTGGAAAAAATCTTAAAAGAAAAATGTGATAATCGTTTGATAAAAATTTGTTTGTTTGATTTACTTTTATTTAGTATACAAGTTGTTTTGACTAATTATTGTTAAAAATTATAGACTTTTCTTGAATACTAGCTAGCTACCCGGTGTAGTTTCTAAAAAGGATTTTTTTTTTTTGAAAAAAGCTCTTAAAATTGTGGTAACAAGCATAGAACTTGAAGTTTTTAGATTTTTTTAGATAATACATAAGTTAGAAGATATGAACTTATAGCTACCAAACATTCACTAAGATATCATATTTTAAATTAGTAGAAATTTCTTTGGAACACTTTTTTACTAAAATATTATGATTGGTGAATTCTCATAACTTCAACGCGTTCAAACGAATGACCTTTTAAATTATTTAAATGAAATTACTGTTCTTAATGATTTCTCATCACTTAAGCGTTCATACAAAATAATACAAGTATGTAGCATATCATATACACATAGTTACTTTAAAAAAGTAATTAATCTGCCTTTTACTGATTTTGTCCTGCTATAGCATATTCTTTTTACTTTTTACTTTTCATTTTCTAACAAAGTGAGACATGCTGTGTCTTAAATCCAGTTGCATCCACAGGGCCTCTGACTAAACTCCGTAAATAAAGGTGACGTGTCATTTTTTTTATAACATTCACATCACCTTCTTTTTTTATGGAAAACCCCCAAATTGAAAATATATATGTCTCACTTTGTGATAAATAAACCACAGATCCGATTTGAAAACGTGCACAATCACAAGTGCCCTTTTTATAATTTTTATACATTTTTAACATCATTGGAATTATTATACATTTCACATTTTGAAATACATGTGTGTGCGCGCGCTTTAATTTTACATTTTAGATTCTACTTTCATATTTGGCTTCTTTATTATTACTTTAAATTTTTTAAATTATTCATCTTGTTAAGTGTTGTAGTATTCTTATACGTTTATTTCAATTTTAAAAGAAATTACACGATTTGTAGAAAGACTTTAGGAGTGTTTAGAATTGATTCTACTTTTGTTTCTTTTTTAAAAGAAAAAGCACAATCAAATTCACTTTTTGTCTACACCAGCTTCTAAAAACTAATTGCAGGAGTAATAATTCGGAACACTCGAAAGTACTTCTGCAATTTTACCATAGCACTTCGATATCTATTTATGTTCCCTGAATGAACATAAACAATTTTGAAAAGTAGATCTAAACACCCCATTAACCACACTAGAATGGTAAAAAAGTTTATTTGGACTTTTTATCTCAGTGTGAACTTACATTAAAAAGATAGTGCAAGACTAGAGGCGGTGCACACTTTAATACTTCTACGGTCTGATTATCCTAAATTTGCAAGTGTCACACAATCAAACCACAACAAGACTCAATTCTAATCTCATATTAAACGCTGAGTTCAATCTTAAAAAGCTAGACAATGATATCATGCCTGTTTTTACACTATCTACCAGTTCTCGCGGTAAAGTAAAATCAAATAAGTTAGACTTATTGTTCCGTAGACAAAAAAATGAGTACATTACAAACAAGAATAAGAAAGTGACCAAAAAGATGGTGAATTAAAATGAATTACTACATAATTTGATATGTTTTTTGACAATACAAGATTTGGATATGATCGAGTCTTTAATTTGGGAGAAAATGGGCAGATAAACCCTCAAACAATTAGCGATTCTACATCAACTCTTCTGATTAGAAACACCTTAAAATAAAGCAATCTGATCCTTTTTTACGTGCTAGTGCAGGTAAGGTAATAACCTTTTTGCGAGAAGTTACTAACGCTAGTAAATAAAAAGAGTTTGATTGTTTTATCTGAATAGGTCAATGAGTGTATTTGCAACGTCTTCTGATTCACATATCGGATTACAGAATCACTAATAGTTCGAGAACGTAAGTAAATAAAAAGAGTCTGATTGTTTTATCTGAATAGGCCAGACCGGACAGAACATCCGTTCGGCCACCTCATTTTGAGGTGGTTCTCGGTGGAGTTTTGGCTGAAATTGTTTGTGTATGTTCCTCATCAAGTCTAGTTTATCCATACCAAATTTGAGCAAAAAATTCAATCGGGAAGGTTGTGAAATGATTTTTGCATGATAACTGCATTTTATATGTATATTCCGGACCAGTTTTC